CGATCGGCGACGTGCACGAAGTATCGTCCGCGCGCAGAGAAGAAGATAACAGACCGACTGTTCGATCCGATGATTACTCGGCAATAATCGTCGCTACGATTTATATCGTAGCGACGAGAGACCCGTTACAGCAATGCTGAGATAGAATGTTACAGAGGACAGCTGCGGCAATACGGGAGCTAAAGCTACCTTTTTCTAACGGTTATTGATAGAGATACCACATGTCCGATTGCAAATTTATAATCACCGCTACTGATTAGAATAAGAATAACTCGATAGTCTGTACTCATCTCGAGATACATCGTGTAACAATACTCGTGACTCGTCCGTTTAACGAAGCAATATGAAACTAGCACGTGAGCTGCCGTTGTTCTATATTAGCCTATCGATTAGCTTATTAAGGCTCACTTTAGGCTATAATCTTCATTAGATTTCAAAATAGAATTTTATATATTTTCTAATTGTACATGCCGTATATTTTGATGTTACAATGTATTATAATAATTATTTTATACATGTATAATACTTAATATGTATTCTGAGTTTTCACATGTTTTCATATTACATAATATATAAAATTATAAGTGGAATTCTATTCTCAATTCTAACACAAACTAAAGATTTTTAGAATGATATATTATAGAAACGTAATTGAATATTTATATGTCCAATTCTAAATCTGTTCTTAATAACGTACATATAACCGAAAATATGATTTGTTAAAATAAAAATAGTCTTACGGAAATACTTTATTATTTGATATGAACGAGATTTATATGATAACCGAAATACCAATTGGTAAACTAAAGTTGAATTTATACAAAATATTTTACATGATTATTTTTCTTTTCAACAAAACTATTACAAAATAAACTTCTTTGCTTTCAAAACATGCAATATTCGTACCACACATAATACATAAAGAATCTTTTTAAAAGATATTTTTATAGATATTCAACTTTTCTTTTCTATGGTGACCCGTCTTGACAAATAATCAGGGTTCCCTTTCACACCTCGTACATATAAAAGCGCGCAGCTGATGCTCCGAGTCAGCTGATGCTGACAAAGAAGCACTGCTTTCAGAAAACACATGGTACCCACTAACAGCACGTTGCTATTCGGATATATATGTTTTCGTAGAACTTTTAATTTTTATGTGTTAATAACCTGCTTATAGAGAATTCTTCTGAGCCTCAATGCGATTAACTTTTCTAACATTAAATATGACCAAATCTGTCCTTAAATCCTTAATTTTTTGTAAATTTTTAATTGAATAAAATATATTATAAAATATTTTTAGAAAAAGAGAGCGAACTTTTTATGAATTAAAAATCGATAATTTTAAGATAAAGAATATAGTTTAAAAATCAATAATTTTAAAATAAAGAATATATTTTTTTACAAAATGTCAATCATCTTAAAATATAAAGTACAATAAAATTTAATATTAATCATTTGCAAAATTTGAATTATTAATTACAATATTTATCTTTCAAATTGGATATTATTCAAAATTATTCATGATTATAATAAAGATATTAAAAGGTTATATATATTGTACATATATTTACCACTCTTTTCATCATGAGTATTTATTAAGTTGAGTAAATAAATCTCTCATTGCGATTTAACTCATACATTTATACAGACTATTCAATTAATTTATATAAAATATTTCTCTCTGGTTGTACCGATCAATCAATTGCAATTTCTCAGATTGAATACTTCACCGAGGTTAGCATATTATGAGCTGGAGTCTGTTGTAGACGGAGGATCGGTTAGGGACCCTTGCCGTTCGAAAAAAGAAACAACAAAGAATACGGTTTGTATGCCGGTGAAGGCTGCGTTGCCAAGTATCCAACCATCTTAAACTGGATCATTGCTAACGGTACGAGGAGTATCTCTCCTGCGTAATTTCTGATCTCTCAATTAACCCTTATTGCAGAATCACTTTTTGCAAAAAGGTATTTCGAAAGAAACGCGAGCTAATCGAAAATAAATCAATAACCATGAGAAAAGCTGCGAGTTATTGCTTGTAAAAGCCATTATTTGAAAAGAGTTAATTAAAAAATACCCATATTATACAGATTTAGTATATATTATACAGAATTAATATTCTCAATTATTCTGTAAATATTATTACCTAGCATTTTAATGTTAATTGCTAGATAATATTTCACAATTATAAAGATTTACAATAATTTAATTATTTGGGAATCAACTAATAAGTATGTAAATAATATAAATAAACAAAGAGACTTATTCGATCAATAGCAAACATTGATATATTCAGTGGGTCGTTGCTTTGTTGCTTTTATTCTTTGAAATACGTATTATATGACCACATTGAATTGATATATTAAAAAATATAGAAAAATTGTCATCAACGGACATTTCCAATTATTAAATACTTCAAATTGAATTCATATCTCTCGTAAATCTAATTCAATTGTTCCAATAATATCTATTGTCATAAACAAGTGCAATTGATCGAATGCATCCTATGTGCAACAAACAATTAATTACATAATGCAACGTTGTCGATATTCCAGAAGATATTACTACTATGTGTATTGATAAAAAAAAAGTAAAATTCGTTGTTTTCTGTAAACCGTTATTTTCTAACGGTTAACCAAGTAATTGTCGGTCAACCAGAAAGTTCACAGCGAAAAATATAGTTAAAAAGAAGTTGTAAATGATCCTTTTGGTCTACAGTTATGCCGGAGCCTGGCATCATTCACGGCAAGATTTCTCATTCGTACATACTAAAATAAAGTAATAGTAAAAAGCGATGCAATCGAATAAAATTCCATCAGGTAAAAAGCTTAATTGGAAATATTTTTTAACAGTATCTACATAAAAGATTAAAATGTTATGCTGTAAGATCAATTTATGTGCAATTAATATCTTAATGTATTATTTATAAGATTATAAATTGTTTACATATTGCTTCTCAAGCTGATGCTAAATAGATAAGGTAATCAAATATTTTTCTCGTCTCATATCGACATTTTAATTACATTTTAGAGATTAATTTCACAGAATCAATTCAATTCACAGAAATCAATATTTTATTTGAAAATGACATCATTCTTGCGAAATAATTTATTCAAATCCATTGCTCCAACGTATGCAATTACTTTTGGTGTGCGATACGAATTTGCAACCGAAAAAATTTTCCGTTATAATCCGCAATAATCTTTTAAGCTTATGCTGCAAAATGAGCAATGACTTTGCTACGCTGGTAGGATTAAGGCGTATTATCGATCGTTCCTCCGGATTAGATCGTTCACGCGGTCTCCTATCGTGCGAACAATGTTCATTCGATACCCGTTTTACTATACTTTGAAAATGACACTTGATTTACGGCTCCGTTTTACAACGCAATCCGGCGTTACATATACATATATAACATAGTATATAGAAAGTCCGTATTCTTATCACTACATTAAACAAGCTGATCTGAATTTGTTACGTATTATTCATTCATCTCTTTATGTAAAATCAAACTGATATCTTCTCCTCAAATTAAAAAATAATATATAACTTCTTTAATAAATCTACAAAAAGATGATTTGTCTTAAGGTTTTCTTCTGATAAAATTATAGGCAATAATTAAACTTGTCAAATTAATATTTCTAATCACTTTCTATTTTAAAAATTCTAAAGAAGAAATTGCACGTTAAAGCAAATATTTGCGTTAAACAAAATTCAAAAATGTTTCACGTAAACATCACGATCAGGAAATTGTTAAGTATTTTCTAAAATATTTAAAAAGATATATTTAAAAATTAATTATAGAAATGATTAATTGATAACAATCGAGCGTCAAGTATAAAAGTTCTGAACGCTTTTATTGCAGACTTCTATTTATACAACTGCTTGTATCAATGACAATATTAGCAGTTGTACATAAATAAATAGTGACGTGGTTAAGACCAGGAGCATCGAAGAAATAGACATTGTAACGTAAATCATGATGCATGTTGTTAAATATTTAACGTTTCTGCGGGATCAATTTGCATAGCGTATTTAGAATACTCGTAAAGACTCAAAATACGCATTTGACAATGAACTGCGCCATGAACGGTAAGCTCATTTCTACAACTGTATAAGTACAGTTGTAAATAGTTGTAGTTGTAAGAACTAAGAATTAACCAGTCACAGCGAAATATAAGGAAAATATTCGACTCTGATTGTTCAATTCTTATAACCACAACCACTTACTATAAATTATAATTAGTTATTTAAATTGAAAAAGAAATGTATTAAATTTTAATAAATACTCGTTTTTATAATACCAACTAAATATTTACTAAATGTAGACATATATTTATTTGCTATAAAAATCATTAATTTGATTTAAGTATTATTCTTTTTAATATAGTAAATATTTATTTATTACAAGTAAATATTTGGTTAGTACTAATAAAACAAATACTTATTAAAATTTAGAATTTTTTTTCAGTTTACGCTTACGCAATTATAGAATAAACTTTACAACGATTCATACGTAGCCACCAGCGTGATATTCTTATCACTCGATTCAAACTACATTGATACCATTTAGTTTACCTAGAGATTCTTCAATAACAGAGGTGGTCACGAGCACTTTTGTCAAGATGAAAAAGAAAGCTATGTGTACTATCTGTTTTTGTATATGTTATCTCATTCTAACTAATATCTTACTGAAGTTGATAAAAACGGGCCAAAAAGATGTTTGTCATGACTAGACTCTGTTATAAAGTCTCTACAGTTTCACCTAATTTCAGATGAGAGTGCCTCTCAATGTCTCTTTCTAAATCAGTCATAGTCGTGACGTAAACAAATCTCGATCTCGTGAATCTCGGTCTTACAACCAATCCCCTATCTTTCTCTCAGAAACTTTTTGTCGAGGCCGTTTTAAACGAACGTTTCGTTAACTGGATTAGTATCAATTCATGCCGGCTCAATCCTTAGTAAATATGCGGCGTGGCACATTGCGAACGAAAGAAACATACCTAATGTATTGGATGTATCCGTGCCTGGCGTCCTCGAGCAGGAACCCCGCAGGGTTCCTCATCTCAATATTTTCGAAGACCATCGAAGTCAGTTCACAGGACACTCCGCGCACTCGACTCGGCTAATCGCTCGACTCCATCAATTTTTCACCGCGGCACTCGTCTCGTAGACAGAACGGAACATTGATAAAATGCGGTTTTGCTCGTCGCCTTGACGGCGCTTCAGAACGTTGCGTATCCCCGAGACATCGTCCCCGTCGGTCGGACCGGCGCGCGTCGCGACAAAGGCGAAACGACGACTCCGGGAGGCGCGCAAGCACTGTTCCACTTCGCGCCGGGTTCACGATGCGCGACAGGTCACGCATCCGCGCGAGCGAAAGCGAGAGGCGTATCACGCCGTACCGACACGCGGACGACTTTCATCGATGCAAAGTCGCGAGACAACTGGAGGCAACTGAAGGCCTCACCGCCGGGAGCAGGCGCACCGCGCGCGCAGCCTCCTCTTCCTCCCCCCCTCTACTCCGAATGCCCTACCGGCCGACGCCCCACCATCCGACCTCGCGTACACCCGTAGCGGCTTCTCGGTCGATCGAGAGAAGGCGTCACACACACACACACAGGAACGAAGAGAGGAGTTTCACTGTACCAAACTGGCATCATATAACACATTTTCAACATTTTCAACATTTTCATTGCGTGCACCGCAATGTGCAATTTATCATATGTTCCTTTACTTCAAAAGTGAGGAAAAGAATTGAGTTGCACGGAGAAAAGGGAAAATTCTATCCTTTAACTAGACAGAAAATTATTGACTCAATCAAATAATGTATATATCGTAAACAAGAACATATTCTTAACATGATAAAATGTCATTTTGATTTTATCATTTTTATTTCACAGATTTAAAAAAAAAATTACTATTTTTAGTTGTGACGATTTTGATGATTTTTTTATGAAGTTAAGTCAGTTTACTTTTAATGATTCATAGAATAATATTCACTTAACTCATTCATAGTAATAATTAGAAAATTACATTTTTATAAATGTCATTTTTTAAGTAAGAGAATGATATAATTTCCTTTCATTTAAAAAATCATGTGATATATGTAATCTTTTTTAAAATCCAATAAATCATAACTTTTTATTTAAAAAATCTTGTTTCGAGCACGGTGTTTTCAATTAATAACGACGTTTCAATGACAAAACACGTTAATTCTTTTAATTAACGAGCTATCGTATTATTAATGATCATAGCAGTCTGTCAGTCGACGTTTTCAATTTTTTCCTTGAGTTTTTAGAATGAAGTAATTACAGAAAACACGAGAAGACCTTGGTGATTTGCCGTCATGCGTTTCACCCTCATGAAATCATTAGCCTGAACACTTCAGATATATGTGTATTGACTTACAAATATACTTATTTACAATGTTATTAAAGAAGAGTTGTATGTAACTATTTCTTTCATTTAATAAAGAAATTTAATTATAATTTATTTAGCCAACTTACAAGATTTTTCTTTAACAAAAATTTTACTGAAGAAATATGCTTCGATAATTTATTTCTAAATTATGTCAAAAAGTTACATTTTTTTGTGTCAATTTTTTTACTTAATTTTTAAAATACTTTCTAATATATTTTTCTTGTGTTAAATTAACACAAAAATTTGAGAGTACGTTTGAAACAAGTACGTGTGTTAAGTTTAACTCAAATTTTGTAAATCTACACGAAACTGTGCTAAACGTAAATTTTATGAAAGACGTACAAAAACATTACATCTCATTTGAATAAATTCTAATTATTGAGTTGTCTGTGCATGTCATTCGAAATGTGAAAGATATGGTACTTGCTAGGCGAAGGCAATGAATGTCTCTTAAATTGTATAATTTAGGAGGCGACGGCATCAACGTCAATCAACGTCGTGTCTGTCTCGATCTTCTATTCCGAATGTTTTATCGCACTTGTATATTAAAAGATATTAATCTATAAACAAAAAACATGGTATATAAACTGGACTTAATGGCGCAAAGTAGTCTTTAATCAATGAGCAATCTCACCTCGGAGTTATTACATTATGCCATCGAATGTCTTTACAGAAATGTATTGCGTGTTACCCGACGCACGTAGTATTATAGCAATTGTCCGTAACGAGAGAGCCAATTGCATAGCACCTAAGGGCATGATAGTCGCACAAACAGATCAAAAGGCAGCGAATGCATTCTAATCGCGAGCTTCGCAAACGGTGACGCGTTTCTTATTTCCATTATTACAACAACTTTTCCATTCGTCAGATTTCTAGTGATCAATAGCAAAGTTCATTGGAATTTCTAACATCCTACTTTTATATTCGAATCAAATAGTAAAAGACATCTATCAGATATGGTAGTCAATAAGTGTTTCTATCTCTGTCTAAAATTGATTATTCATACACAGTTATCAAGCAATGACAAGCAGTTAATAAGCAGATCAATATCTCAATCGAACTTTTAAAGATACATACAAATATAAAAATATAAAAAATTCTACATAACGAATAGTGTCATAAAAATATAACATCTCAAAAAGTTTACTATCCACGGAGAGAATTTTTTTTAATTTATCCCGAAAATATGATAATTGTGTACAATATTTTAAAGATTTTTACTATGCACTTCAGTAAAAATAATCAAATTTATTTTATATTTTATTATAGTTTTATTAATGAATGAGAGACATTTACATAAAATTCTTCGAAATGCAATGTTGTTCCAGCACTACCATATTTTCAAGGTAAATTCTAAGAAAAAATTCTCTCCGTGTACAATGCTCTTATTTTCTTACAATGAACATCTGTCACCATTGACATACTGTACTAGTTACTATTGCTGTTTCTTTATATAATAAATACATTATACCTTATATACAACAAAAAACAACCTAGATATTCAATTAATTGTTACTTGTCGACTGCACATGATAATTGATTTTAGACAGAAACTCGAAACGTTTCAAATATTTTATGTCCCATTTATAATAGAATTCATATATGTGTATATATTCGTTTATAAAATAACAAGTATAATTAAAAACAACTGTGTGATTTAGAATAAACAATGAAAATTAGAACAATTAATTATATATTTAAACAGTAATCGACTATATCTGATACTTTCGCTATAATAATTAAAAATAATAGATATTTTTGAAAGATGATTTATTGCAAATCTATATTTTTTTCATAAATAATTATTAAGATGTAAATACTTTTACTCTATCATTGATATGTAGATTCTTTTTCCTTACTCAATAATATGACTTTAACTATCCTATTGCAAACAATGACTCATCGCGCACCATCCTATACACTAGTAGACCGTTCCTTCGAGATCTCGTTACACGAATCGTTTCTCAATTTTTTCACTGTCAAGGGGAGCGCATGCGACGCATTAATCATCTGCGTCAACCAGTCCGGTCGTATGATTGAAATTGCGGTTACATACCCGTAGGGTAGGTGAAACTAGGTCGTGTTGTATCTAAGATTGTAAGATAGTAAAATGACTTCGCGGTGTATTTCGATGTTATTAATGTTTTTATTTACAACCGAGTATGTATGTATCGGGTGATAATAATCATTAATCCTCTTCATCGCCAAACATTTTGCATATAATTTGCGAGCAAATGCAGAAGACTTACTAATGCGTGAACTATGCGAGAAATAACATCAATATTCATAGTGCATCGAACTCTTATGTCATGCATATCAACGATGTTGAACCAGGGAGAAATTCTCTCTATCCCCATCAATAATTCTTTTCGGAATGGCCAAACTATCAGATTTTTTAGCACGGCGTGAAAGAATATGCCGCTAAAGCTCTTCGAAAGTCGTGTTGTGAATATTCATGTAAGTAAGTATTAAATGGATACTATCAATGATTTAGCATGTAATATAGTCATTATTTATTATCATATATATATTATATTATGCATAAATTAATTATTAATCTACAAGATTTCGATAAATTTCATTAAAATTTTGTAAAAAAATTAAATTTCTTATACATGAATAAAAAAATTTCAAAGGAAGTATTCGAGATTTAGATACTAAATTCTAAATTATTTCAAAATACATCGAATACACAGATATTTACGGATTCTAAACACTCGGATACAATATTTATACGGATCATAGAGCAGCATAGTGCATTCGTGATAAACGCCACGCATGCCGAGATGTCACGTTATTCATACACATGTCAGCTGACATCATCGGTGCATCGACCTTCGTTGCGATTGTCGTATGTACGTATATATGTTTGCTCTGATTTGCCAGTTCATCCATGCAAAACGCGAGTGAACACCGTATAAATACTATAATACGTTCAGAGAAATCTTGCACAAGGAAAGGAGACAGTCTGGAATCCATCTGTCCCGCTTGATAAACAAAGACTATTCAGGAGTTCCCGATAGAGGTGATCATTGATTCCTGATTAAATAAATTTACTTAATTTATAGCCGTCGGAATTATTTTTCAATAGAATTATTTGCAATCAACGCTGGTGTATCTTAAAATAGAAATAGCTTCGATTCCACTGTTTTTTTTTAAATATAAATCAGATACCACATAATTGTAAAAATTACAAAAAATATTAATAATAAGGATCACGAAAGAATTTAAATAATATGTACAAATATGATGAAAATTTATTCTATAAAAATTCTATAAAAAAATAAGTTAAAAATTTATTTTTACAGAATTTAATTACGAATTACAGATTTTTACAATCTTCTGCAATATCAAAGATGACGTCATCACACCTTATAAATTAATACCAATGTTGCAATAAATTGCTGTATTGTGCAATAATTAATAGAACTACAATTATAGAACCATATAAAATTAATTACTTTCTAAATTCTTTAAAATGAATCTCACTCCAAAAAAGTGTAATCTCACTCCAAAAGAGTGAAAATTAAATTTCCAATACACAGAAATTGTTTTACTCAGCGGATCTTCATGCCTTTTGAAACTGTTCATACTAGTATCCACATCTTTTGCAAGAAGCTAATAGTACGTAATATTGCATTAAGGCACGCGATGTGAAAATCTCTGCGATACATGTCATATCACTTTTTACGTTCTCATCAAGAGGCTAAGGAAGGATGACAAATGGGTCTAACGAACCCGCAACTCATTTTATCTCCTGTTGATGTATTCTCAGTTCTGTCGAGAAAAGAGAGTCTATGTCTAAAAGATTGGAAAGGCACGTAATCGCTAGCGAAAGTATAAGATCTTCAGAAAATCGAGAAAATAAATTTGTCTTTCGCGTCAAATGAAATCTAACACTGTAACATAAGCTAATACATTTATTTTTACATATATCTTTTATATGTATATATATCATTAAATATGTTTTAACTTTAAGCATAATTTATAATATAG